AACCACTTGTAACACCCACCTGTCACATGTACTTGTCACACCCACCTGTCACATCTACTTGTCACACCCACCTGTCACATGTACTTGTCACACCCACCTGTCACATGTACTTGTCACGTGTACTTGTCACATCTACTTGTAACACCCACTTGTAACACCCACCTGTCACATCCTCTCTTTCACAAACTGCCAGTAATTCTCTCTGATGTTTTTATACTGTTATTTATAACCAATAGAAAGTCAAAGTTTTAATCTGTAAAATGATGTATTATGTTACATATCTGTTTATACGTCTTTTAAATGTATAATATATAAATAATATTAAACCTAACTGTCTATACATGTTTTAAATGTGTAATATATAAATAATATTAAACCTAACTGTCTATACGTCTTTAAATGTATAATATATAAATAATATTAAACCTAACTGTCTATACATGTTTTAAATGTATAGTATATAAATAATATTAAACCTAACTGTCTATACATGTTTTAAATGTGTAATATAGAAATAATATTAAACCTAACTGTCTATACATGTTTTAAATGTGTAATATATATAAATAATATTAAACCTAACTGTCTATACATGTTTTAAATGTGTACTATACGAGGCCTGTGAGAAAAGTATCCGACCTTATTTTTTTGCGATAACCTGATGGATTTGAATCAAGAGCGCTTGCATGAGCCGACCTTGAACCTTCGAGCGCATGCGTGAATTTTTCCCGCTTGTTGATTGCGTCAGTTGTTGGCAAGCAGCCATTGAGTGAGGTAGTGTGTAGTGCTCTCGTCGGTTTTTCATTGCAAGGAAAATGACGGAACGACTGGAGCAGCGCTACTGCATCAAATTTTGCCAGAAACTGGGCGACAGCCAGGTGGAAACCATTCGGAAGATTCAGACGGCTTTCGGTGATGATGCTATGGGCATCACACAGATTAAGGAGTGGTACAACCGGTTTAAAGACAGCCACACAATGGTGGAGAGCGAGCCACGCTCCGGTCGGCCATCAACATGCCGAAATGACCAGGTCATTGCAAAGTGAACGCTATGTTCATGCGGGACCGTCGTGTGACCATCCGAGAAATTGCGGAAGAGGTGGGCATTATGACCGAAGATTTGGCTATGAAGAGAGTGGCGGCAAAATTCGTGCCGAAGCTGCTTACGGCAGAGCAAAAGGAACTTCGTGTTGAAGTCTCACAGGACATGCTGGACTCCACAAACAGTGACCCCGACTTCATGAACACCATAATCACTGGTGAAGAGTCTTGGGTGTACGGGTACGACCCGGAAACCAAATCCCAGTCGTCACAGTGGAAGCATTCCACGTCACCAAGACCAAAGAAGGCCCGCCAAGTGCGCAGCAACGTCAAAGTGATGCTGACTGTTTTCTTTGACTCCCGCGGTGTGGTACACCACGAGTACGCACCACAGGGTCAAACAACCTGTAGTACTCTTTGGTGATTGTTTGACCCTGTGGTGCGTACTGTCCTCCGTCGCCTACGTGATGCTGTGTGGCGCAAGAGACCGGAGTTGTGGTCAACAGGAAATTGGCGCCTCCATCATGACAATGCTCCAGCACATTCCTCGCACTTGATTCAGACTTTGTTGGCGAAAAACCAGACTCCTGTGGTTCAACAGGCTCCTTACTCTCCTGATATGGCTCCTTGCGACTTCTGGCTGTTCCCCAAACTCAAGAGGCCATTGAAAGGAACGCGATTTCAGACAAGAGAGGACATTATGGCTGCAACGACAGCCGAGCTAAACTCCATTTTGAAAGAGGCTTTCTCGGAATGCTTCCAACAATGGCGGCACTGCTGGGAGGAGTGCGTGGAGTCCCAAGGAGACTACTTTGAGGGTGATTAGGTTTCCAACGCTCCAGGTATGCCAGTTTTTATTCCCCGGCCAAAGGTCGGATACTTTCCTCACAGGCCTCGTATAATCTCAAGTCTTTGTTAAAATACACAAAAGCTACTTTACTTAAAGATTAAGATAAACAAATATCAAATTAAAATAAGTCTTTGTGTAACATATTTTAAGTATCAGTTATATTAAGAAAGTTATTCCTAAGTTTTTTTTCTTGAGAGATTAATTCTCAACTGTATTCCAGAGGATGACTTTTACGACAAGTTAGCTTGCAGTATTGCCCCAGAAATCTATGGTCACGAAGATGTGAAAAAAGCACTACTTTTACTGCTTGTGGGAGGTGTGGACAAAAATCCCACTGGAATGAAAATAAGAGGTTTGTTGTGATTACAGTTTAATCTAGAGAGTGTTAACTGTTAATATTTGTTTAAAATAGTGTCTTATGTTTAAAAAATAAATTTATACTAATTCCTTATACCACTAAAAGTTGGGTTTCAATACCCATGGTGAGCATAGTACAGATAGCCCAATTTGTAGTTTTGTGCTTAACAACAAAACAATTGATATAAAATAAAGGATATTTAATTTGTGCTTCACGGAAGTACTTCACTTTATTGTATTAAAAACATCAGTTCGGAGATTATATTCTAATAAAGAAAGGTATTTTGGATAAGAATGACAACTTATTAAATATTACATCAAATGAAATTAGATTGCTCTTTTGGAGTTTATCTTTTCAAGATTTAATCCATTTATCCCTGAAGAAGAAATATCTGTTCTCCAATAGTGGTAGGGTTATTGAGTTTCATGTTTTGAAATAATTCAAAATTTAGCATTTTAGAAATCTTCTAGATTTGTTCTTAATTAGTCTGAGACAGGAGTTTTAGCTATCACAAACAAATGTCAAATGTTTCAAGTTTTGTAACTGTAGTTTTTAGTTTGTTTGTACTTGCAAAAACATTCATTTATTATTAATGTGATGGGTAAGATTCTTGAACCAACAAGTTTAGTGAGTCCAAAACTTCTGAAAGCTCATAAGTGTGTGGTCTGAATAGATAACTCAAAACAAAGTCTGAGAGCAAAATCCGTTATCAGTTGAAGTATTTTATGAAAGTTATTTGCATATTCAACTTAATTTAGTTTGCATGAAAAATACTTTGTTAAAGGACACGGTTAAAGGTGAACACAACTTGTGATACGTGATAGTGTCATACTAATAAAATGATTTACATAGTTAATTTTTATTTAGGGATAGTAGCTAAGCTGAAGTGAAGTACTATTCAAGTTAACATTAACATAATTAGATTCTCCATAACTGATATGTTATTTTGATTCAAATCTGGGTCCTCCTGACTTACTGCTAACATGGCATCTAAGTGTCTGTGGTTTACAATGTAGAAAAGATACTGAATTCAAATGAATTTGTTTCTACATTTGCTTCCAAATAAATGTAATTTTCAGTTTGAATGATTTACATATGACTAGCAAATTGTACTTGCAGTTCTTATCTGAGATAAAATAACCTTATAATGTTACTATTAATAGAAAGATACAAGAAAACTATCAATTTAAGAGCTGTGTAAAGACACTTTTTGATCTTTTGGGATCAATAAAGTTCAAGGGAGAATTTAAATTTAGAAAATGAACTTTAAAATATTTTTGAATGCTTCTTATCATTTCTGCTTGTTTGAAAAATCTAAAACAGTGAAAGCTAGATAGGTGTAGATAATGGTAAAAGTAATATCATTTTAATAAATCTATAGGTGTATAACTTAACTGTGATATGTACTACATTCATATTTTAAGGTAATGATTTCATATCCTAAGTATGTACAAAGAAAAACCATGTCGTTTGCTCATTGGTGATATAGATATATATTTTATTTCATAAATACATAATTTAAAGCAGAAGGTTCAGGCAGGTACAAGTAGATTCCTCATAGTAAGGAAAAACTGAATGTGACAAATTTACACGAAATTCTTCATTGGTTTTACTTGTGGGATTAAACAGTAACTTGTGACAATGATGCACGATATGGAGAACAGGTGTTTTTTCACAGCTGGAGCTAAGAAAACTTTTTTGGACCAATCACACAAGAATCTGGCAATCATGAAATAAGATCTAGTATTTCTTAATCTGTTTTGTCCTGGAGATCACTGAACTTTGGAAATTATTAGATCAACCTACCTCTTAGTGTTAACATCTAATACTCCTACTCTGATTTCCATAATGCCATGTTAGCAGTAAATCAGGACTGAGGTTTGAATCAAAATACCATACCAGTTATGGAACACCTAATTTGTTAGAGCATTATGTTAACCTGATTAGTACTTAGCTATCCCTTGAAATTATTAATAATGGTTCAGGTTTTCTTCTTTTTTTATCCTACTTCTTTTTTGTTGGTTATGTCATTGTAACAATTAGTTTTTAACTCAGAAATATTTTATAATTGATGTTGTGTTATTTTGTAACATTTATTTAGTGTAATTCTCAAATAGAAATTAGATGTTCCAAAATGCATTTTTCCTCAGCCCCAAGGAGTCTCACCTGTAAACAGTGCATTGATTTTACTTAGAATTTTTCTATCCATACCAAAGAATAGGATTTATTTGCTGAGAAACTGTCTTCTCTTGAAAATAGAATAATGATTGATGTCACAGCATGTGGTTGAACAATTACTAATGAAGCTTAGCTTTGAAAATAGCTAAAGCCAATAGCCAAAAATTATGAAATAGAGAAGGTTTGTCTTTTTAAGTCAGTATAGAGTAAACTATGTATTTGAGTAGTAATTTATGGTTGCTCAACATATTGGTAACCAAGAATTCTTATAGAGGTAAACAAAAGATTCTAATGAAAGTTTACAACAACTTGAACAAACCATGTGTAGGAGAATATTTTTTACAGTTTTGTTTAATGTTTGATTAGTTCCAGCAAATATTTTCTTGTTAAATTAGATCTTTTTTGAAGGCTACAGGAGTTTTCTTGTATGACAAAATATCAAGTAAACTGAGTTAGGTTTAGTAAGTATTGTAAGTGAAGGCAATATATTTCAATGACTATATTCCTTCTTTATTGAACATTACTGTTCATTTTATTTTATTCAAACAATACACAAAATTAAAATGACCTGTTATTTATTAAAACCAGACTAATTGTTTGTTAACAAATTTATCTTGATGAAGAATAATATTGTTCACAAATAAATCTATCTCAGTTTTAGCCACATCTTTTTATTTATAGCTTGAAGTGGTGACTATATCAATCAGTGAAATAAATATTTGAATCATTATCAAACATATGGAAACTAACTGGTCGTGTAAAATTAAACTTTCTGATCTATAATAGAAATTCTATAACCATAGGTAGCATTTCTAGTGTTTTCTCAAAGCAGTGTCTCACAAGATAATTTTGAAAATTTAACAATCTGAAAGAGGATACAAGTACTAAATCAAATTACATGAATGTTTTAACAGTAACTAGACATTATTTAGTAAGTTTATACTAAGTTTATTGAAGTATGGTTTAATATTTCCACTGTGAGTAAGGAATAAAGCAGGAGATATTAGTAACACTACTCTAGCTTGAAATGGTTAGTCATTTCTAGGCTTTGAATGAATGTGAATGGTTGTATGCCAAAATGTTTATATATACATTCTCATCCATTTGAAAATAAGAAATTTTTGGATTATATGCAATACACATCTTCTCATGTACTATATTATTCCAAGAGATTGTGTTTTGTAATCCAGCTGGCCTGATAAGCTCTGGAATGTAGCAATATGCCTCAATGGTGAAGGCCTACGAAGGACGTGTTATAAAAAATTGTATTATATACTAATAGTGTAAACCCGTTCTGAACCAGGTAATGATTTGTTTAAAATCGATGCAAGTCGTATTGCAATAATTTCTTATTTTTTTGAAATTTCATATCATGATTAACTTTATTTTAAATTTAATTCACACCATGAAAACATAATTAGCAATGCAAGTTGGAATTAGCACACTTGGTATGTTAAGGTGTGCTTATTATATAACAACTTTGAAGCTCATACTGGAAGGTTGTGATTTCTTATGTCCCCATTTATGAAGTGCCTGCTTTGTACTTAAGAGCAGCCTCAAAGAATTTGAATCATAAACTTCATTGCAGAAATGGGTATGAGTGTGTGACTGTGTTATGTCATTTAATGTAGATCTGAATTTGGATTTAGCTGAAAATAAATATACATATATTCTTAATGTCTAAATTGATGCAGACAGTTTAATGTTGAGTAAAGAAAAAGCCCCATACTGCACAGTGAAAGTCTTTCACCTTCACCAACCTGCTAATTATTATGAAGTAACCACAAACTACTTAAAGCTTGACAGGATCACCATTGTCCAATTTGAAAATACTGGATACTGCATTTAAAACTGAAACATAACACTACTTAAACTATGCTTAATATGACTTAAAACAAAGTGGAAGTCAGTTTACATCTATGCTGATATCATCTATAATAATAAAAGGACGTGTCAGTGTGAAATTGTACACCTACTAAGTGTACCCTGAGGGTGTACACCTGGGTATTATTACTTATCCACATGCATGCGCTCATGGTGATCTTTTTAATAAGGTAAGCTAGTGCAAAACACATAGAAAAATGTTTTTCTTATATAACAAAATCTAGTATATAGAAACGTTAATGCATTTTGGTAACAATGAGTTTGACAATGGCTTTTATGTCATGTCGCTTTGCAACAAAAGTATAACCTAATATTGTTGTTAGTCTATATACTTAAATGTATAAAATGCAATGTATGAACTACAAAACTTAAAAAATATTTGTTGATTTCTTAATTTAGAGTCTGTTGATTAAATTCAGAAATAATTAAATTTAAATTGAATTGATATATTTACTTGCATAATAAATTTTATGCACTTGGTTCTAGGCTAGGTTATCTCACACTGTCTTTACTTTAGGCTTATTTTATTAATTTCTTTAAATCATACCAACATTCACTACACTTACAAATTTCATGGCCCCCTTGAACCCCTATCACTAAAATCGTAATGGGCAGACATTAAATGAACTATTCTGTCTGGATAAATGCATTTTGGCTTTTATGACTCCTTTTATTTCGAGAAATCAAGTGTGTCATGATGCAACATACACTGGCTTTTATATAGGTTAGATAACATGATGTATAGTGGCATCTATAGTTATCTATAATAATATTATTATCATACTTTTATTAATTTTTTAAACATATGCTTAAAATATTTTTGATTGTTCTATGCTAAAATAGGTTCAGAATACACACATTTATATAGTCATCTAGAATGTATCAACCTAATAACTCAAGCAAAACCAAGTACTTTCACCAGTGCTAAATAA